GAGAAACAATCTGTATGTATATCACGCTGTACATAGGAACAATGTAATTTACTATAATTGTTAAGAAGTTTAAGCAAAGAAAGAGAGAGAGAGAGAATGAGAGTTTGCATTGTATGTAAGAGAATATTATAGATCGAGAGTATAACGTAGTAGAAGGAGGTTTCGTAATCGAATAATTATTCTCTGTGCCATTGAATCGATTTCACGATCAAGGATGTTTCCCGTGATGAATTGTGATTGATAGCCAGACTTTCTGGATACGTGCATCCTTTAATTACTATTTAGATTTCATTAGAACAGCGAAGACAGTTTTGAAAATTTTTCTTATTTAGGAGGTCATGATTTAGTAACTTGTCCATCTTTTTGTTATATCAGTTGATAGATTGTTTAATTATTAAGCAAACTTTGTCCGCTCGGTTCTTAGTTGTTTCTCAATTTTTTTTGTCCTCGATCTAAACTAAATAATAGTGCCATCATTATTTTCGTTTCAAGATTTAAACTGAGTCATTTATCATTTTTTTTTTTTTAATGGCACGAATTCCTTTTCGTGCTGATCGATTTTATATAACTTTATATAACGAATCAGAGTGGCCATAATGTCAGACCTCGTTTCGCCAGTCGCGCTGGAAATCAATCTTGCGTAATTAAAGATACGATATTTTATTTAAGAGGAAACAGAAGCTCTTAGTTGTATTTTTAATTGATAGACATTGTCTTGTACGTGAGCAAAATTTTGTACAGTTTGAAGGAATTAGTTCCGTTAGTGCCATTCGTTCTTACGTACGACCAATTCTTTTTTGTTTTAACATGATAGTATAAATATTAATTTGTACATTAATTTTTACGCCATAAGTTCGCATACTTATCGAAATGCTATATTTAACATTTAGGAATTTTCAATTTAAATGTTCTAACCAGTAATTGAATGGTTCATTGAGAAAGCGCAACGTATTCGTGTACACACTTATATTTATTATAAAAAGGAAAGCAGTACAACTTGTAAAATTACATTCAGAACTTAACATTTTAAAGAATTGAGAGAATTGAAACTGGATTTCAAAATTTTCAGATTCTTCTTGGATTATGTCGATAAAAAGTTATTTAATTGTCTCAGTCTTTAGAATAATTTAATACAGTTTTTACATAAACCCTTTTCGATTAAAATTCATATTGCCCGAACATAACGCTCAGATAAAAATTATGAAGGATGAAAATTACATATTAATGTTAACAGAATAAGCATCCTTTGACCCAACACGCGAATTTCAATTACTAAGTTTCATTCGAAATCTATCTCGAAAAAGATGATTCTCTCACGCGATTAAGCGGTGAAAATGTAACAATAGACCTCATAACGACAATGGAACAATTCATACAACTTTTCGTGCAACAAACGATTTTACAAATGGCTGAATTCAACAATAGACCATGCGGTTAACAACAGGCATGTTTCTGTACCATTAATTCTACAGAATGATTCACAATTTACCAGCAATAAACTTGCATAACATGGGATGAACGAAAAGAGAGAATTACTAATTACAAAAATATTATGATTTAAACAAATTTTTTTTTTTTGAGAAAGCGGAAAAATATTGGAAACTTAGAAAAATATTATTTATCAAACATACAATATGCCAGATAATATACTTGACTAGATTCTAAAAAGCAATGATCGAATATTATCTTTGCAATTATCTATTTTTATAATTTTTCACTTATGATATCTACTTGAAAGTCTCGATGTTCTCTCAATGGAAGCTTAGGAAAACGTTATTTGTTATTTATCAAATACGTGGCACAGTGAGGAGAATAGATTCTCCGAAACAATGGCCTCGAGTCTCTGCAATCTTTCATTTGCCAGTTTTGTGAGTTTCCATTTAAGTACCACTCGAGATCTCAATGGTTTCAATAGTTTAGATATTCTTAACAAGAAAGCAAATTGCTTCGAATAATACTTTTGAAATACACTGGCATTCTGTCAAGCACGCGCCAGTCAATGAGCCAATCAATTATTAATTCGACGCATTCGAGAGAAACGTGCGAAGGAAATCTGTGTTGTTCCGTTGATTAGGTTGCTCGGCGGAAATATAATCCGCCATGGCCGTGTTTTTAATTGGTCTGGCTTAATTAAGCCACTCGTGCGGGATTGTAGCGAGTCGCGCGGGTCTCCAGGAAAATTCTAATTGCCGGAAGAACGCTGGTTCTCCGCCATTTTATTCTCACTTCTCGGACGTCTCAGGCGTTTCCCCGCCTGTTCTTTCTTTCTTTCTTTCTTTCATCGCTCGATCCTCATCACATTTTTTTCAATTTGACAAAAGGTGACCTCGGTCACCTGGAAATTTCACTCTATTCTGATTTATTATCGTGAACGC